GTGTGTGTGTGTGTGTGTGTGTGTGTGTGTGCAGGTAAACCGGGCAGGCTGAGTCAGAGCTTTAATGGGACCGCATCTAAAAAAGAAAAAATTGAAAAAAAAAAGACCTTTCTGTCTTGAATAAGAAGCGTGTTTGCTTTGGTTGTTTGTTCATACATATTCAAAACATGTTGACTGATTTCTTTTTTGTCTCTCATGCTGTCTGTGGACACAGCGTACTACTAAACAAACAGCCCGCCCGGTGGCTGTAAAAGGCACACCTTGGATAATTGTTTAGGCCATCTTTGGGTTATTAGTGGCCTGGTTGGGAGAGAGGAGAGTGACTGTGGAACAGGGAAAGTGACCTTCCACCAGTTTTTATTCAAAGCTCTGAGCGAGTGTTGTGACACTTCTTTCTTTGGAAAGACAGCGTTTGTGCGTGTGTGTGTGTGTCTGTGTGTGTGTGTCTGTGTGTTGTTCTTCCTCTCTCCCGACAGAATCATTGTTTTGCATTCTGTCAAAAATAGGAGAAAAAAAAAACACATCCACAGAAACAAAAGACACACCCCAGATGAACTTGTTGTGCTCCTATTTTTGGAAACTAACCGGGTCAGAAGAATGTTTCCAGCGGTTTTGTTATTAGATGCTTTCCTTCCCGCTCATCTGAAGTAGATGTTGTCCTTTGTGCCCGTCGCTTTCTCAAACAAGACTGTTCCAACCAGGTAAAGTCAGGCCTTTCTGGGGTGATTCAATATCCTTAGTCCTATAATGCCAAATGTATCATATTTTATACAAACGGTTTCTGAAGTCTTTTGGATCTGAGACGTTTTGCATCATTCAGTGGTAAAAGCTTTGCTCAAACCCCTGTTGTACACATTCAGATATACCTGATAACAGCCAGTAGAAGACCACACCAACATATAGTTTTGACTTATTGCACGCTAATTTGATCAAAATAATTTCTGTTTTTTTTTCTTCATATGTTGTTGAGGGGCCAAAGAAAGACTTCAGACAAAAAAAACCCCAATATTCTTCCTTTTTTTCTTGGATCAGGCTTTAAACGGTTAGATACGGACGGCTGCTCCTTTTAGTGGAGATCTCCCAGTTTTGGCAGGTAATTTTTTTTTATATCTGTTTTTCTTCCATTTTTGAGATGTGAAGAGTTGAGACATTTCCAGTCCAAACAGGTGCCATCATTTGTTTTCGAGGAGTCATTGTTTCTGTCTTTATTTGTTGGTGGTCTCAGTTCTCTGAGTCTATAAATCTTAATTTGACTTTGCTCTCCTCCTCTGATAGTGCTGAAACGCTTTTTGACGTAATGACTGGACTGCCTTGAAGTTCTCGGTGTGCCCGAGGACTGTCCAGTCCAGTTGTTATCAAGGCCAGTGCCTCTGCCCTGACCCCGCCCCCCCGCCTCCTTTTCCCTGAACAGCAATGCAGCTCAAAGCAAAGCCGTGAGGGGGAGGGGGGGAGGGTGGAGAGATGGGAAAGTTCAGCCTAGTTTTACAGCCCTCGCTTCCCAGTGCTGAGACAGTGATCGATGAGCTTAGACGTGCTCTGCAGGACGAGCTGTGGGTGGCTCTCCACCTCCCCCACCGTTCACTCTGCCAGTGTCATGAAGGGTGGATCTTTAGGGAGGACCCAGACGCGGAGATGACGGAAAACAAGGTTTATTATAACAAAAAGGCAGAAGTCCAGACATGGTACAAATCAAGGCTGTGGAAAACTGTGAGCAAAGTATCAAAGCAATAAGTAAACGAGACTGTGGCAAAGTAACAAAATAAAGATTAGCAAAAACTGTGACAAGGCTGTGGCAAAACAATGACAACGGCAAAGTAACAAAATGAAGAACAACAAGACCGTGGCAAAACTATGACTATGGAACAAAGTCAACGACTATGGCAAAAAAGCAAACCGACGAAAAGGACGAAAACGCACTGGCACAAGACAAGGGGAAACGAGGACTATTTAAACACATGAGGGAGGGGAACCCCAGGTGAACACAATAGGTAATCATGACATGACGAGACTCCAGACATTCCCCCAGAGGTGACAACCAGGGACGTTTGCTCCTATTGGAAAGCTACATCTGAGGAAAAACAGGGAAGCATCAGACGTTTTGTTGACACAGACAATTTGAAACCTGATTACACTCCATAAGGAGCTCAACATTTAATCCTCATATTCCGAAGAAGCTGTGAATTATTTTTCCTTTCCGGAAAAAGAAACAAATTAATTTCCTAATTTGACCGGGCCTCCTAAGTGAATTGACTTTTCCTCTTACATGAGAGCTGAAACCAGGAATAGGCACTGACCTCTTCACAGTGGGCATGCTCCAGGTCTTAATTAAGCCACGCACTCTTTTTCCCCCAAAAGGCTCAACAATTAATCCGTCCTTGTCCATTTATGGATGCTTATTGAAATATTTTTATAGTATTTGGTCTTTTTCCCCGAAAAGCCTCAACAATTAATCCGTCCTTGTCCATTTATGGATGCTTATTGAAAT